AGAGTATCTACCTATACTTCCATTTTGACTGGAAGCCTAGACGATATCCTGAAGAGGCTTTTATAAGTGCTTGCAGAGAAGCAATAATATATTTTCTCCTGGAGGAAACAAATGCCTGTTTTCCATCTCTTCTTCTAGGATACAGTAGGTTCAGAGATACCATTCAATTAACCCCTTCTTCCTCTCCACAAGCTTCATTCTCTCAGTCTACAGACATCCCCATTTCTCTACCATTCTACACAAATCTTTCTTTCCCCTTAAACTAGCAACATCTCTCAATATGCCTTCTTTATGGCAATTTTTTTTAAAAAGCTAGCTATACTCATTGACTTCCCTCTTTAACTTCTCATCAGTAGTATTCCCAACAGCCCACTCCAGTCTTATTTTCTCATTTCTCATTCTATCCTTGACCTCTTACTTTGTTTAGCTGTACTGACTGTGCCTCTCCAACCTCTATTGACAAAAGATGAATGTTACTCAGGTAGTTTTTACAATGAAAGCAGGTACCTAAAGACTGGCTTTAAATGGTCACACTGTACAAATCCTTCTCCTGGCTTCCATATATTTTGAGAGTAGAGATTCAGTAGACTCTGAGATATGAACCTGGCTCTTTCACTTACTACCTAGGCATCCTTGGAAAAGTTATTTAACTATTCTGTGGCTTTGTTTATTCTGTAAAATGAGGCTGATAATAGCACCTGCCTCAGCAGGTTGTTGTGAGGATTAAATGAATTAGCATTTGGAACTGTGCCTGGTATGCCGTGAGCATTCAACAAATACAAGCATTTTCTATGATCTCACTTGGTCCTCATTGTGGTATATATAAGAGAACTTTGTAAACCACACAATATTTTATTAACACCAGAGATGATATAAGGCAGTATAATGTCTTGGTTCCGTCTCTTCTCAGGCTCCCTTAATGGTTGAGCATCTTTCCTCTGCTTCTTTAATGCAGACCTACTCCAAAGTTCCTTTCTTGATCCTCTGTCCTCATGATTTTTAAGGACTTATCCTTCATGGTGGCTTCAATTATGACACCAACACCAATGACTTCAAGTATGGGTCTACAACTCTAAGGTATATCCCTTAAACGTCAGTTTCTATCCCCAACTTTCTGCTGGATATCTTGCTACCATTCATGTGATTTCAATATGCATGACACCAAAATCACCATTTTGTTTTCACAAAGAGGATGCCCTCAGGATTTCACTTTGTCCTCAGTGATACACTCATGCTAACTAAACATGTCTAGTCTTGCCAGTTAACCCTAGTTATGTATAAGATAACTCAAGAACAGATCTTGTGAGGGTGTTGCTGAAACATTCCTCTTGTTTTCCTATGGTCTGCCCTGTCTACTCTGAAAGGTTCATAGTAACTACACACTGTCCGTGCAGCAGGGATAGGCTGCGGGGAAGAGAGTCCCGGGTACCTAGGATGGAGCTGTTTCACTGAAACAGGAACATCCTCATCCCAGATCTCCCAGTACTCGGATGTAAGCTGGCCTTCCTCATACCCTACACTTTCGGTAATACTGACCCTGTTTTTATCAGACAGTCCTTGCCCCACACCCCAGTGTGGTGTCCTTCCAGGGAAGACTGCTGGGCTGGTGCGGGAATCAGCAGCTTACCCGGGCACCTGGTGCCACATTCCATCTCTGCACCTCAGAGCTTTAATCAAGGAAAGAACTTGAGCTAAGTGGCTCAGGGTCTTCTGGCACCTTCAATATCCCCTGCAGCGAAATCTGCTATTCTTGCAAGCAGCCTAACAAATGCCTGGTCTTAAAAGGAAGGCATTGAGGAAGTTCTTTCAGAGCATCCTGCCTGTGCTGGTCATTAGGGCTGCTCACAGATATTGCACTTCTCCTCCTTGGAGCATGCATGGAATGGTACCCCCTGCTGCCCTTGAAGCTAAGTGTGACATGCAACCTGCTTTGGCCAATGAGACCTGATGCACTTGCCCTTTCCCTGACTTAGTGGAAGAGTAAGTGAGATGCAGCTTCTACCAGCCTGGGTCCTACATACTACATTACACATGGAGCAAGACAAAAGACACAACTTTGCTTGTGAAATCATTAGGATTTGGGGGGCAGGGCTTGTTATCACAGCATAAGCTTGCCATTTCTGACAGACACAATGGCCCTTTTCATGCAACCAACTCACTACCTTCAATTTCTGACCTAGCTCCACTTCTGACTTTTAGAAATCCACTCAGTTCTGCTCAGCCTTAGGGTCACATGGTGCACGTAAGCTACCCAAACTGCCCCCTGCTTTATGGGTTGAAACCTACTGTTGTTCAGCCCCCAGAGACTCAGCAAAACTCACGACTCTAGTGCTGCCCAACCCCAATATCCTAGGCATGAAAACAGGTAGAATTTTCCCCCATGTCAGCATTTAAACAAGAGTCTTTATATTGTCCAAAATGACTTTGAGAGTGAAAGGGTACTAAGGGAGGATAGGCATAAGTCGTCACTGTTCTGGTAAACAGGGATGTTTAGGCACCTGAATCCTACTTCTGTCATCTTTACAATAGAAGTCTCAGGCTATGAGAAAAATTCCTAGACTTCTTATCTGAGGATAGATCACCATACCCAGGAAATGCGATTAAAGCCCTATGAAGAAGCATGTGGTGAAGTTAACGAGTTTATCAGAGTGGACTCTGCATTTACTAATCCATGTGGCCTGGACCAAATGAACGCAGCTGCTTCCATACGCAGGCACATGTGAATAGCAGTAGACATCCAAACAAAACCGAGAGCCCAGTGCAAAATCCAGCCATAAAGTATGAACACCCTGCAGAAACATTAGCAGCGTCTTCCTCCCACAAGTCAGCCCAGGATTCATTTCAGAGGAAGGAGGACAAAACCAAGAAACAATCTTAGCAGCAAAAAGAATTATTTAAACAAAGCCACAGTCAATGCAACCTCAGTGACCAAGAGCACCTCCTCTCCTAGGCATGTGAAACATATTAAATGTCAGTAAATGTTTTTGAAGAATGTGAATTCTCTAGGTAAAGTAACACATGGTAGGCGATAGCTAATTTCTCTAACATGCTGCCATTCTGCATTTTTCTTCACTTTGTGAAACACCAGGATTCTAATTGGCTCATTAAAATTTTCAGTGGTCAAGAAGTATAAAACAATTTTTGTAGAAGATTCTGTTTTTCTGTCTGTCTCAATCCTTACTCCTCAGCTTCAGATGAAGTAGGTCCCCCACCACAGGGCTGTCACATGACCTGAGGTAGTTCAAGTACCCCCATGTCCACACTCAGGTCCAGGGATGGCAACATGACTCAAACAAGATCGCAGTGTAGTTTTTCTGGGGTTGCAGCCATCACTGGGCGTGTTAGATTTCTAAGCTACCATAATATATTACCACAAACTAGGTGGTTTAAACAACAGGAATTTATTCTTTCTTAGTTCCGGAGTTAGAAATCCTAAATCAAGGTGTTGGCAAGGCCGTGTTGCCTTTGAAGCCTCTGGGAAAGAATCTCTCCATGACTTCCAGTTTCTGATGGGTCCCAGCCCTCTGGGGTGTTCCTGCGCTCATGGCTGCATCGCTCTAATCTCTGCCTTGGTCGTCACATGGCCACATCTCCCCTCGGTCTCTGTGCCTGTGCCTTCACAGGTGTTCTCCTTTCTGCACGTGTCTCTGTTCTCTTCTTCTCTTTTTATAAGGGGGCCTGTCACATTGGACCAAGGGCCCACCCTACTCCAGCACGACCTCTTCTTAACTTACATCTCAATAACATCTCGAAGACTCTGATTCCAAATAAGATCACAGTCACAGGTACCAGGGACAGGACTTCGACATATCCATAGTGGGGACACCAGATGAGAAGGAGCTTCTCCCACTGAGTGCCATGGAAGCCCGCCCACCCACCTGAGAAGTAAGCAAACAGAACCAAGAGCTGGAGAAAGGCCGGAAAGGCAGGGTCCTAATGTGATTCAATTCCTGGAATGCGTCTATATCAGAAGCCCAGTCCACCTCTTGGGTTTCCCAATGGCATGACCAACAAAATACCTTTCTTACTGAAGTATTTAAGTTGAGTTTCTGACACAGCAAAAAGTTCTAATTAATATAACTACCAATAAATAATGCTATATAATGTAACATCAAATAATCTGGGTGTTTCCCATAATCTGGGTGGTGAGGAGAGGGCAGGGTATATAAGAAGAAGATTGGCCATGCGATGATAACTGTTGCAATTAAGTGATGGGTATATAGGGGCTTATTATTATACTGTTACATCAGTCTTTGTATCTTCACATACATGTGAAATTTTCCAAGATGAAAAGCTATAATTAAATGTTAAAAAACAAGTTTCCTCAGGACTCATGCTGAAAGTCCTGCACGATTTTGGGGCTGCTTTCTTTGTGATTAGAAGAAACAGCTCAGAATTTAACACTTAGCAGTCCAAAAGCCATGTTATCATCTGAGTTTTAGCAAAGAAAAGTGACTCTGGGGTCCAGAGCAGCACTGACCAGCCCTACCAAAATCAAATCTTCTGTCACTTTGAAATAGCAGGAACCTTGGGCTACGAACAGTGCTGGCCTACCACATTTCATCTTTGGAAACAGCGTGAGAGGCTCCTCCTCCACCCCCACCCCCAGCCCATGACGGCCAAACCAGTGTGAACCCTACAATCCTGTGTGTTTTCTTAGGCCACACCAGCCCCTGTAGCAAATTCCAAGGGAATGTGGAACTCCATCCTGCTCCAGCCCACTCCCATCCCACCCCAGTCCTGTCCCGCTCACCCTGCTGTCCTCAGACTCTGCTTGTTCCATCCATGCCTCATCCCTCTCACTGATGCTCCAGGTGGCACCTGAGCTAGGCCACCTTTGGTAAGGACCCCTGCAGGCTCCCCTCTGCCCTGGGGTCATACTTCCTCCTCCACTGCCACTCTGGCCAGGGTCTCCAATTCCTCCAGCATCAACCAGAAGGCAACAGAGTTAAAGAACAGACAAAAATAATTCCTACAGACAGGACTGGGTCTATTCTTACCTTCTGCAAATGGTTCCCATTCATAAAAGCGGCCCATGAATGGCTTATTGTTGTAGGATGCGCACTGTACCTCCCGAATACTTCTACTGCTTTCTGGACACACCTAATAAAGCAAAAAGTGAAAATGCAATTAGCATCTCTCTCTATATATATCTCTTCAGAGCCCCAGTCAAATCCTAGGAGACCGCTCCAACTTTAAATACCAGTCCCCCTCTACCGAAACCAGGATTTCTGAAGCAAATTTGCTGATTACCTACATAAAAAATTTAAAATATAGATTCCAAGACTTCACTTCAAGTTTACTAAATCAGAATCTTTGTATAGACACTAAATTGTTAACAAGCTCCCCAGGTTAAGTTTTTGCACATCATAGTCTGAAAACCATTAACCTAGACCTTCTGCTGCTGACAAATTGGCCTGCTCGCTCCCCTCAGAGAGGTCGCCCACTTCCATCTTTGACTTGGTTCATGCCCTTCATGAGCACGGAATAACATCCCAGAAAACTCGCACAGAGCCCTCACCGTGTGCAGACACTGCTGTGCGCATGTTACACATGTTAGCTCATCTACAGCTCACGACCACCAGGGAGGTAGATGTGAGAGTTCACAGACCTTCCACACGTGAGCAAACTGAAGCATGGAAGAGCCACATGGGCTGTGAGGACGGAGGCTGGATTTAACTCCAAACAGTCGGGTCCCTGCTGGACAGGGCCTCAGGGTCCTCCCCATCTTGTCTAAATTCTCTCTACCGCCTAATGCAGGACCTCCCAGCCTTCATCATGCAAAAGAATCACCCAGAGATCTTCTGGGAAATGCAAATTCCGGCATCCTTCCCCCACAGATTATTTTTCAGGAAGTCTGGGATGAGGTCCAGAAATCTGTATTTTATCAAATTATCCAGGTGATTCTGATACTCTAGACTAGTCAAAGAAAATATCCAGCTCCCTATGCCTTATTTCTGTTTTATTTGTAAATGCTAAAAACGATCAAAGAGTGACATAAAATAAATGTGAAAGAAGAAGCATAATCTCTCATTCAAATCATGGATAAAGTATGATCGAGCATTTTCAAACCTAGCTACATTCTGTTTAAATGTGGAGTGTGCATATGAGTATTTTAATAGTCAGAAAGGGAAGGAATCTGGCCCCTTAAATATTAAAAGCCCTGTCTGTAAGAATTCTTTGGAATAAACCACTAATAAGATAGCTCCAAGTCCTGAAGGATTTACAAAGAAATCTGTGGTACGTGTCAGAAACACCAGGTTTCCTGGAAGACAAGAGAACTGGGGTGGGGGCCGGGGCGGGGGGCGGATTTGAGGCAGCGGTGGGGAAATGAAACCAGGGGGCTGGAGAGCATCTCCTGCTCAGTGAAGGACAGTCAGGGAGGCTGCTGGTACAGCACGCAGGGTGTTCAGAACCCTGCTTTAACCCAAGCCAAACCACAGGGAACAAGAAGCCATATGAAGCAGAGAGCGATGGCAACTGGTGCGGAAAGGGTCTGGGCGGGCTGCACTCCGACATCAGTGAGAAGCTGACAGGCCACGGAACCATGTATGCTTCCAGCAACAGCAGCTGTCTCCGTAAAGGATCTGGGGTTGAGATGCTTTTCACAACCCTCTGGCCAGAACCAGAATTCACCTAGGATGTAATTGGATGAGTGACTTGGGGGAAGTCACCATTCTTGCAACAAGAAACAACTGCTAAGATGTCTGTTAAAAGTATAGATTCTGGGGCCTCACCCATGGAAGGGTGGGGAAGAGGCCCAGGAATAAGATGCTGGAATTGCTCCCTCAGGTGATTCTGGTGCAGCCAGCCTGGCACCAGACTGCATAGCCACACCCAAACCTCAGTCTCACTCTAGATTCCTTAACATGCAATCACAGAGTGATCCAACCCCTTGGATGTACTGATGAGGAAGCAAAGGCCTGGATAAGTAGTGTATTTTGCCAAAGGTCCCACAGTGAGAAGAAACAGGGTCCAGAGAGCTGTCGCCTACCCTGGCTCTAATCAAAGACCAGAGATTAGAGCAGAACAAGTGACCTGACTGGCCCGGGCCTCAAATAACCACACCCACATAAAGCCACACTGCTCTGCCTCCAGGCTCCAGCCAGGAGCCACCCTTAATTAACCTGGTGGCAGCTACCAGAATTGGAAGCTGTGGATCAAAGTAACTTAGCCCGTCTGCTTAATACCCTTCTTTTCCTCAGCAAAATGGTGCCAATAGGCCAAACAGAGAGCCCATGCACCTTCAGAGTCAGTGCAAAGTGCTCAGTATTTGATTATATAAATGTTTATTTACCCATAATTAAGTGAAGAGTGTTAAAATGATTATAGTGTGTGTGTGTATAAACAGACAAAGAGAAGTTAAAAATGTTATCTCTGGAAGGTGGGTCATAGACATTTTCTTTCCACAATTAACTTTTGGTTTATTTGTATTGTCTAATTTTTCCACAATAAATATGTAATAGTTACATAATAAAATTCATCAGAGTTGAGCTCTTTTAAGCACATTTGGTACTGAGCCCTTTTGCATGTGCTTATAATTTATAATCTCATGGTTGGTCCAATGTCCACAAATACCTGGTGTACTTATTACATCCACATGCACCTGCCAAGCCAGCCAGTCACCTGTGGCAGATGGTTCACTCAGGGTTGCCCGTCCCTGGTATCGGCAAGTTCTTTATATCTGAGCATGGTCCAGTTACCTCCTGAGGCAGGAGAATTTAGGCGGCATCAGGTCCACAGTAGGGAGTCACCTACAGTTCCCAGGGGGCAGCCAAGCCCAGAGGTTGACCATCCTACTATCAGTTAGCATGGGAAGGTACAGCAGGAAGTATAAGGTGCCCTGGCAGATGGGCATGGCCCTGTGTGTGACTCTGAGCTGGGACCCCTATGATGCCAGGCAAGCTGCCAATTAGAAGCAGGGCACTACTTCCTGGGAAGGAGAGGGATCTGGGCAGAGAAATGTAAGGCTCAAAGGGCCCAAATATGGAAGTGAGTTATTGAGACAGAATTATGGCACAGGTGAGGAAGCAGCTGAGGTGATGAGAGTGATGGTGATGGTGATATTAAGAACAGATAACTTTTGTTGAGCACTTAGTATGAGGGGGGACTCCCCCCAAACCACAGAATTATCTTCTGGAGGGTGAGTCTCTTGTAGTACAGACTTCCCATGCTAGGTGAGTGTTCTAGGAACCCATCTGTATCAGTGTCCAGCTGGTGTTGTTAAGAGAGGCTGCATTCAGCTTCAGTGAATTTTCTTTTTAAGACTCTCAACTCATTTGCCCATTTCATGATTTGTGACCACACCTGCCCACACCAGGCTGAGTGTTCAGTTTTTGGCCAAAAATGGTATGGGCCCTCCTACCCTACCCTTCCTATTCATCTGACCTCATCCCAAGTGAATGGGATGAAGTCAGATGAATTTTTTTTTTGCTTGTTTCCCCAAATGAAAAAAGCCATGAAAAGGAAACATTTTGTTGATGTGCAAGACATGAAACAAAAAATGGCAGAAGAACTAAAAGGCATCAAAATCTATGAATTCAAAAACTGTTTTGGGCAGTGGAAAAACTGTCTCAACAAATGTATTGCATCAAATGGATGACTGAAGGTGACTGAAGTTTAAACATGTCAGAATAAATACACAATTTTTTATAAATAAATTTTTTGCTTCCCCTTCTTAAATGCCAGATACTCTACCATGTGATTTACGTATATTAGCTCATTTAATCCTTAGGACATCTATTATACCCATTTCATAGAGAAGAAAGCCAAAACAACAAAAAGTTAAATGAGCTGCCCAAGATTATGGGACTAATAAGTGGTGGAGTCAGGATCTGAACCCAGGCACTTGGGGTCTAGAACACATGCCAGTAACCACTATACCATGATGGCCCTTGAGAGGACATGGCCAGCAAAGTTACTGAACTGGGAGCTGGGAGCCAAGGATGAAAACCAAGCTGGCCATGGAAATTCTGTTTCACGTCTCTTGTAGATTAGATCTGTTTGTACTTGTTAGACTCTTATCAGTATATGATGATCTCCTTTCAGTTTACAGGCTCTCTGAAGTTAAAAATTCCAGGTTACGGGTCATTTTACATTTGTTATGTTTTAAGTGGGTTGTTTCCTGATGCTATAGGCTGAGTCACTCTCAGCTTATCAGTAATTGTTTCTGCAGTACACTGGGAGTTAGCTTTGGGCAGATTTTCTGCAGGCAGCTGATCCCTTCCACGGACACAGATTTTTGGAATTTACAGGCCAGAAAACTGAGACAGGGAGGAAGCTGTGTTGCTAGAGAGCAGGCTGACTCGGGACAGGGCCAGGGAAGAGCGGAGCTTCACAGCCGAGTGACAGCCCAGGAGACAGCCTCCCTTCAAAGGACTCCCTTCTGCGCAAAAGAGGGAGGGATGTTTCCAGTGGTCACTTACGGAAAGAGACACAAAGATGCACTTTAATACAATACATTGAGTCCTTTTAAGTACTTCAGGCCCTATCCCAAGCTCCACCTAGACAACTGCTTGGGGTTGCTATGAGTCATGAAGAGTGTTATGGAAACTGGGGCTATGTTTCCAGTGACCCTGGTTAGTCAGAGATGACAATGGCTATATCTAACTTCATCGCTCAAGAGGCCACTGTTGGTGAGCACACACTTACCTTTGGTTAATTAATAACTTTCAGCTCCCCAGGAGACTAAAGAGCAGCATCCACAATGCAAGTGGCACCAGGGAACATGACCTTGAAGTGTGCCTGGGTCATATAGGCATTTTTTTATCCTTTGCATTGCTTTGGATTCGATCAAAAGACCAGCTATGATAGCAACATATGATGTATTTATCATCACCACAGCGAGGAAACCTAAAAAAAAAAACTAGAAAATATCCCTGCACTGCCATGAGAAAGTGGCCATGTAACCCTGGGCAAAGCGCTTTGCAGCTCTAAACCTAGATTACTACTCCCACCTCCCAGGTATTTTTGTGACAATTAAGTTAGTGATACATTAAAGTTTCTAGCTCATAGCAATGCTCAATAAATGTTAGCTGAATCAGAATCTAAGTAGATATCTAAGATGAATCCACCAGTTCTGGAAGCGTAAGAGCCCGGAAGGT